AGTGTTGTGAGCTTGCCCAACAATAGTGCTTCTTGTCAGAGCGTAGAAACAACCCCAGGTAGGAGAAGACTTATGAGCAAAGTGTCCACAAGCAAAAGCTGCAAGAGCATCAAGAGCATGGAGCAAGACTTCTTTGCATTGTGAGGTCCAACAATGCAAAGAGCATGGGCTCTGTGCTCAACAGCATGCGGGGAGGAGCCCTCTCCAAGCAAAGCATATCTATCTGCGCTTGGCTGCATGACGCCCTGCTGTTGCTTATATTCTCGTCACTCCTCTAGTATGTGTGAAGCACAGTGACACTTGCTGGTAGGAATAGAAATGTTCTGAGGTGCAAAAAATGGGCCGAGACTCATGTAAAGGCCTGCAAAACCTTTCGGCGCATTGTCGGACTTCAGCAAAGCTGCTCAATCTAGCATGCTGCCATGAGCGCAAGAATTTGAGCGCTGTGATGCTTCACCCTCTGGGCCGAAACCCATTCATGGACTGACTCGGTACATGATTGAATTTCACGTGCTCTCCGCGCGCGATGGAGGGCCGCGGCAAAAAGGTTTGGACGCGCGCAGAACACGCGTGCGCTCATGCATCATGCGCTCGCCAAACACGCGTGAGCGCGGCCCGACCAACACGTCTGAGCGCTTTGGATCAAGACTCGCGTCAACATCCGTGGATCATCAGCCGTCAAGCAGGATGGCTACGTACTTACAGTCTCCAGTCAAGAGTATACCGGGCCCAAAAGTGCTCAAAGTGCAAGCTAGAGCTGAGAGTTGACTCCCACTTAGTGGCCCCTCTCACCCGCTTATCAACATTTCCCTGGCGTCGTGCGGGCAGGTTCCAAAATGCTGCTTTTGCGTTGCGCAGCGCAATTTGAAGCGGCGTCAGTGCCATGTCCGTCTGAAAGCCAGCCTCCGACTTGATCTTAGCCGAGCCCGGGTATCACGTTCGGGCCTTGGTCAAGTTTCGACACCACACGCGCTCGTTGTTACTGGCAGGCATCTCAGGACGCGAATCACCATCAGGCGAGGCAAGGATCCTGAATTGCGCGGTCTTGTTTGCTGCCTTGCCCAGATTATGGGGCGGGTAAGTGGGAGCTGTCAAACAATCTCGGCTTGTCCATGCCCGCGAACCAGTTGGCTCATATTCAGCAAATCAGACCGGCAAGCGTCAGCTCGAGCTAGCTAGCGTTGAACTTGACCAAAGGTGAGGCTGTGCGCGCTGGTGCAGGATGCGCGTCTGCTGACTGACGAGCGGGGAGCCTCATGCAAGGGGTTGCATCACGAGCGCAAGAGCCTTCTACGTCACACAGTGCTTCAGCTATGGCAGGCTTTAGCATAGCTTGCTCGGTGCGCTTTTGCGGCTCAGAAGTGCCTTTTCGAGGTGCGCATGCCAGCAATCCGCCTTCCAACCACTCATCGTCACCCAGTCGATCTGTCAAGCATACACGATCCGCGAAGCTCACTTTTGTCCTTCCAAGCAGCTACGATCTCCTTGACTCTCGGAATTTCAAGATCTAGACAATATCCAAGTTCTCCGCTGCGCCACAAACCTGCAAAAGTCTCAGCAGCTTGCACCGAGTATAGACTCCGCGGAAATAGCAAAGAAGATCAGCGGTCATCATCCACCCTGTCTTGCTAAGCTCACAACTCCGGGCATCCGTCTCAGCAACATCGCACCTGGTGTTTTCTACCGCAAAATCGATCTAGCATCCACTGGACCGGGTGCGTTTTTAAT